AGATTTAATGATACTTGCAATATATCTGAGTGAAGAATCCATCTGGATGTTTAAAAATTTCCCCTCAATTGTATATAATGGTATTTCCCATAATTAATTTTTCAGGATATTTTTGTTTGTTTTGTGATTTCCTTTATCAAGTTTTCCCAAAGCTTTCAGAATACATTTCACAGAAATAAAACTTTCATTTCTGCTGTGCTCATTTTATGTTTGTTTAATATTTAATGAAATTACTTGCTTACAATAACTAGTAAAACTGCTATAAAGATGTAAGAACAAATGCAATAGACTTGATTACTACGCAACTCAAAAGGGATAATTGAAGTATGCAGACATTCTGAGAGATGTTGCCTAGCCACAGTGCTCACTGTATACTGGATATTTGCTGGTCTTTTTAGCAGGTGAATGAAAAGTATCTGTTGCTCTCGTGATTCACATTTAACAAAGGTAACACTGGGTCTTCACAGTGTATGGGAGGGACAGAGAGGCATATAAACAAACACATAATGCATAACGAGGTGGTTTGCAATAAAGATATGTACTATGAGAGCAAATAATTCTGTCCGACGGTAGAATGTAAGTTGGAGCTGCTTCTTTAAGAACAGCAAAGAAAAGAAAGGAAACAGCACATACCAAAGCAGGAATGTGTAAAAGAATATTACAGAGATTGTCAGAGAGCCAAATCAAGAATGAACTCCCCTTTGCAATTGCTACCAAAAGAATAAAATACATAGGAATACAGCTAACAAGGAAAGTGAAGGACCTATTCAGGGAGAACTAAAAACCACTGCTCAGGGAAATCATAGATTACACATACAAATGGAAAAACGTTCCATGCTCATGGATAGAGAGACTCCATATCATGAAAATGTTCATACTGCCCAAAGTAATGTATAGAGTCAATGCTATTCCCATTAAACCACCATTGACATTCTTGACAGAATTAGAAAAAAACTATTTTTAAATTCATATGGAACCATAAAATAGCCTGAATATTCAGGAGAATCCTAAGCAAAAAGAACACAGCTGGAGGCATCACAGTACCCAACTCCAAACTATACTGCAAGGCTACACAACCAAACCAGCATGGTACTGGCACAAAAACAGACATATAGACCAATAGAACAGAATAGAGAACTCAGAAATGAGACCAGACACCTACAACCATCTGATCTTTGACAAAGCTGACAAAAACAAGCAATGGGGAAAGGATTCCCTATTTAAAAAACGGTGTTGGGAAAACTGGCTAGCCACATGCAGAAAATTGAAACTGGACCCCTTCCTTTCATCTTAGACAAAAATTAAGTCAAGATGGATTAAAGACTTAAATGTAAAACCCCAAACTATAAAAACCCTAGAAGAAAATCTAGGCAATCCCATTCAGGACATAGGCACAGGCAAAGATTTCATGACAAAAATGCCAAAAGCAATTGCAACAAAAGCAAAAGTTAACAAATGGGATCTAATTAAACTAAACAGCTTCTGTAAAGCAAAATAAACTATCATCAGAGTGAACTGATAACCTATAGAATGGGAGAAAATGTTTGCAATCTATCTATCTGACAAACGGCTAATATCCAAAATCTACAAGGAATTTAAGAAAAAAAAACCCATTAATAAATTGACAAAGCACATAAACGGACAGTTCTCAAAAGAAAACATTCATGTGGCCAAAAAACATATGAAAAAAAGCTCAACATCACTGATCGTTAGAGAAATGTAAATCAAAACCACAATGAGATATCATCTCGTGCCAGTGAGAATGGCCATTATTAAAACGTCGAGAAAAAACAGATGCTGGTGAAGCTGCGGAAAAAAAAGGAATGCTTTAACACTGCTGGTGGGAATGTAAATCAGTTCAACCATTGTGAAGATAGTGTAGTGATTCCTTAAAGATCTAGAGGCAAAAATATCATTTGACCCAGCAATCTCACTAGTGGGTGTATATCCAAGGAAATATAAATCATTCTATTATAAAGTTACATGCACGTGTATGTTCACTGCAGTACTATTCACAATACCAAAGACATGGAATCAACCCAAATATTCATCACTGATAGACTGTATAAAGAATATGTGGTACATATACACCATGGAACACTAGGCAGCAATAAAAAGGAACGAGATCATGTCCTTTTCAGGGTCATGGATGGAGCTGGAAGCTGTTATCCTTAGCAACCCAAAACAGGAACAGAAAACCAAACACTGCATGTTTTCACTGATAAGTGAGTGCTGAACAATAAGAACAATGGACCCAAGGTGGGGAACAACATGGTATCCAGGCAGTATGGGTCACCAATGGTGCATGTTTAAGACTGTGTGATGAATAGCTGAATGATGACATATCCTGTCAGTGTATTTATTTGGCTCTTTATATAATATCATTTGGAGATAATGCCAAAAGCATACCTTTGAAGTGGTAATAAATGCTAAACCATTTCAAAATGGCTGTTTGCCACACACACCTCCCTGCTCATGTACACCTGGAGCAGATGACTGCAAACTGAACGTGGTAGGCAATGGATAATATTTAGGGTAGATTTTAAAGAATGACCAGAACTAAGCAATAATGAGAGATGAGACAAATCATGAAGATCCTTGCAGCTATGCTCAGAAATTTGAAATAAGGGCAACAGAGATCTCAAGAGTTCCCTTCTCTGAAAAAAAGATAGTGACAATGACAAGCCAATACTTGCATTTTCCCATTCTTTATGTCACTTTCTTATAAGACTGGGATCTTCTCCTAAGAATATTGAGTGGACTCAGAACTAAATACCAAATCATCGTGTACCCATCAAACAAGATGACAAAAACATTGAAAAATAGCCTTCGTTGAGTAACTTGGGATGTGGAATGATCTGGCTTAAAGATGGAATTTTGGCTTATGTTGCATATGAAAAATGTTCAAGAAAATGCTCAGCACAAGAGGTTTGCACAAATTTTGATGTAGATAAAGCATCTTAGGATCCCACAGGTTCTGCTGTTCTTCTACAAGCTTCCACCATCATCATTCACTCTGACATAAGCTACAAGGGACTTGGCTGGCGATGTCTCTCCCTCTTCTGGTGCCATATCTTTACCCTAGCAGGTATGGCTCCTGTTGATAGATGTCATAAACATGCACAGAGAACATGAACATAAAAAGGTTGTGGTGTCTCAAAGAAAAAAATAGGGAGAGTGATGCTAGCTGTCAACGAATGTGATGATCAAGCCTATTTTCTTATACTTGTTAATAACTTCAGACTTTTTAAAGAAAAAAGGAGTATGCATTTGGAAACATTATCAGGAAGAATAACCTTTAATTGAAGATAGTGTATCTGACAGTAAGTCATAGATGAATTTTTAAGAGGAAGGAATACTACTATAATGAGCTCTATAAACTGGAGAAAAATCATGAGGTAGTTGACAGGTTTTCAAGTATTAAAACTTTCCTTTTAACCTTGAGTCATAGAGTTTGATTCTTTCAGGCTTGATCAGGCACTGACAGGGCTAACATGTTGATTCTCAACACAATTGACTGAATAGATTAAGAAAGATTTAAAATATATCTGAAATTTCTAGAAGTCACGCAAATATAAAACTGTTTGAAATTTTGATTTTTACTTGTCTTGACTAATTTTATTTTTTGCATGGAATTGAAAGATCTTATTTAAATAAAATGATGGAATTTTACAATTCAATTGTTGATCAGTAATATAATAGAATTTTTAAAAGCCAATTCAAAATAGTAGATAGGGTAGAGGTAGTGAAATGCAAAGGTTGAACTCTGAGGACTTTGCAGTAATGATTAGACTCAGACACTTGCAAGGGCCCTGAAATGGTAATTTGTTGGGCTTTAAGAGATGCAGTTGTGAACTGCAGTTTGAGTGACCATCCCCATTATGACTTCTGTTTTGACCTTAGAGTTTCTAGCTCTGCCCAGTTCTTAAAGAAAGAATGCATCTATTCTGTTTATTAGACTCATGAATGAATCCAAAGCAGCATAAATGGCAACTCCGTATCATGGTATAGAAGTTTCTCCATCACAGAAGGACTCAGTGGCTCACACCTGTAATCCCAGCAATTTTGGAGGCTGAGGAGGGTAGATTACTTGAGGCCAGGAATTCGAGACAAGCCTGGGCAACATGGAGAAACCCTGTTTCTACCAAAAAATAAAAAGTATCTTCTTCATTTCTGCCTTTTCTAAGTTATTGTTTTCATTGAGATAATTCAACTGTAATTGTATTATGTGTTGCTACTGCCATTCACTCACATTGGTTTTACATATATTAATCTATTTTTAGGTGAAGGTGGTAGTTCACCAAGGGCAGCATTTTTTATTATGACTCACAATAAGAAATGTATGCCAACTTAATATATATCAATTTATAATATCAATACATATTAATACAAATTATCAAAGAATTTTATATATAAAATATATAAATATCTATATAATATTTACTTATAAATTACATAATTATGAAATGAAGGTCTCACAAAACAAGCCTTATTCTTGCCACTAGTGATGCCCACTGACAGGACCCCACAGGGTGTGCAGCACTCCCAAATCAGTGTGTCAACACTATTCTGGCAGCCCAATCTCATACAATTCCACAAAAGAAATATTGTGCCAGTAAGCAAGAGTAATTCCCTTACCAGGCCACCTCTTAGAACCAGGGTTCAGACACAGGGCCCCAGGATGACCCCATAGGCATGAGTTTCAACTCTTGGGGGGCATCTGGTTGACACCAGGTGAGAGTGAAGGGTTGCAGTATAGAGCAGTCCAAAAAGGAGGAATAAGAAATGAGACCCATGGGAGTCCCTGACCAGCACTGCTGGCCCCAGCTAGTCCTACACACTGTGAGGAAGCCACTGAAATGGGTGGTGGGAAGAGATGCTGAGAGTTCTGCCCTCTATTTTACTCTATGCTATTATATTTCACAATTTTAAAATGTCTTGTGACCCTCTAGATTGACAATTTCCAATCATTGCATGCCTTTCTGTCTTTCCATTCAGTGTCCTGGGAGAGAGAATTTGATCAACCAAGTTTGAATAGTGTCTATGTCTGCACTAATCAGCAGTGGACAAGGGGAAAGGAGAGTGGGATCTTGTGGTCCAGACGTGGCCATTTTCCATCCCAAAGCTTCTGCATGAAAGGGATGAATTTCAGTGGTGGGTATCCTGGAGGACAAGCAGCCTCCCTAGACGGCATTTACTAGAGAGACAAATGGCCTGAGGATTTTGGACCCCAGGCCTAACCTGCTCAAGGGCTCTAGTTCAAGGGATATTGACAAGTAAGAAGTATTATATGATTTATGGGAGGAGAACCCAAACAATAAAAGGATGAGTAATTTATTCAGAGTCACATGGGGAAGAGACAAGGCTAGATCCATGTCTCTCATTCCCAGTCCATGACACCTTGTTACTTATTCAATGCAATGGACCCAGAAATCTATTGGCATTAAAATTGCTTCAAAAACAAAACCCCCCACATAATCCTAGTTAGTATCATGCTCTTCAAAAAGCTGTGTCACTGCTGCATATCTTACGTAGTATGACGTGTGTCACTGCCGCATATCTTATGTAGTGTAATAAGTGTGTCACTGCTGCATATCTTATGTAGTGCTACAAGGGCTTGTTTGATCATTTGCTCTGGTACTCATATAGGTCCAGCAGTCTGTAATTTCCTGTGACACTTCTTTTTCCTTTTTATTAGATTGGAAAAGAATTTCCCTTCTTTCATCTTCAGAGGTTTTTTAATGTCCTTTATAATTCCTCAAAATGATTGAATAGTGGCTCTGTAGTGACAGCAGTAAAGCAATTTGTGATCCTTCAAAAAGATGCAGTGCAAGTAAAAATTATTACTCTGTGTTAACAAAGTAACATATGACACCTAATATATTTTACTGTGATCCTCATGTCCATAACTGGCTTTTCCAGAATTATGACTATGAAAGTATATCTTTAAAATGTGAACAGACACTGGTCAAACTGGAAAGAAATATTTGTATACTTTTTTTTTTTAAGAGTCAATGGGGTTATAGCCATAGGCTTTTGCAGAAGCATTAACTCCTTCTGGGTGAGAACATTTGTGGCCCCAAGTTAAGCTTTCTATTTTTCTTTCTGTCTCTTTCAGAGCACTGGTAAAAAGATTTTTTGTTTGTTTTTTTTTGTTGTTGTTGTTTTGTGAGATGGAGTCTCACTCTGTCACTTAGGCTGGAGTGCAATTGCACTATGTCATCTCACTGCAGCCTCTGCCTCCCAGGTTCAAGCGATTCTTCTGCCTCAGCCTCCCGAGTAGGTGGGACTACAGGTGTGTGCCACCATATATGGCTAATTTTTTTGTATTTTTAGTAGAGTCGGGGTTCCACCATATTGGTCAGGCTGGTCTTAAACTCCTGGCCTCATGATCTGTCCTCCTTGGCCTACCAAAGTGCTGGGATTACAGGCGTGAGCCACCATGCCCAGCCAAAATTTTTTAGTAAATAGATAAAAACCCAAAACAAGAGCCCTCACTTGATATGAATTTATGATGACCACCTCACACTTGCTGACTACCCCATGATATCTCTGCAATGAAGAGTAACGCTTTAAAAGTATCTGTGGTGCGCATGTTCTCACTCATAGGCGGGTGATGAACAATGAGAACACATGGACACAGGGAGGGGAGCATCACATACTGGGGTCTATTGGGGGGGCAAAGGGAGGGACAATGGGGGGATTGGGATGCCGGGGAGGGATAACATGGGGAGAAATGCCAGATGTAGGTGACGGGGGGATGGAGGAGGCAAACCACATTGCCATGTGTGTACCTATGCAACAATCCTGCATGATCAGCACAAGTACCCCAGAACCTAAAGGACAGTAAAAATAAAAAAAAGTATCCATGGTGTGTGTGCGTGTGTGTGTGTGTGTGTTTCAGAACAGATGTTTTAGTTCAGAACTTAGGTGACTGTCCCTTTTAGAAAAGGAAGGTGCCAGTAGAAACTGAAATACAAGGAACTCAGCTAGTGGTCAGGAAGGAACTTAGCTGGGTGTGGCGACTGTTTTGTCAGAAGTTAGTATCTGGTTGTCACTGCCATACAGAAATCTCTGGTTTTTGCTTCAAAAGTCTGAACACAGTTTTATTTTAACTCTCCTCTGACATTTATTCCTATCACCTTGTTCTCCATAGAAAGGGTTTCAAATGATTCCATATTTTCTAAACCTTAACTGGATTTAATTCTCCTGTTGGTGACTGAAAAGACAGCAACCTATGCACTATGCAGCTGTTACCCTTCCCCCACTCGACAAAAATCTCTTCCCTTCGTTTTTGAAGAATGAACTTGAGGTGCTTCCTAAAATTATCACTTGCTACTAGGAACTGAGTCATTGAGAATACTGAGCAAGAATTTTTTACCAAGGTAAGGACCAAACAAACTTAAAAAAACATTCCAGGATGAAAGGGAGCGAGTTCTCTATTTGTTCTTAAGTCATTCTCTGCTGATGAAGCTAATCTGCCTTCCAAGGAACTTGCTGTCCCTTTGAACGCCTCACTTATTTTAACCTAACAGTGGACTATAGGGCTTTTCTATTCTGCTAGTTCTCTCTGCAACTTTCCTTTTCACATTGAAATTGAGGACAGAACAAGATAAACCTGCACAGGGAGGAATTCAGAGTGCTTAGCTGAAATTGGTAGTAGCAGAACACAGATGTCTGTGGGTGTCCAGACAAATTATTGGTCCCAACTCACCAAAAATATTCCACTACATCCAGGAGTAAAGTTATTACTTTCTGAGAAGAGTTTCCAGTAGGGAACAAGCCACGAGGGGTTGTTTTTTCACTGAAAAATATCGGATGGTTCCCCAGGGTGGGGCAGGAATGTCTCCCTTAGGAAGCTATTACCTCCAGGATGAGTTATCAACAAACCATTCTCTGTATTTGGTCTAATTAAACTATACACATTTTTGGGGTTTGGGTATAAAACAGAGATGCTGACATGCCAGCCTTTATGCTGCTGACACAAATGTTCTGAGTAGAGTTGATATAAGCGGTGCTGACACAAACCTTTTCCTTGAGAACAGCTGCTAGAGGTGTTTTGCTTTTCCACTATCTTCCAGTGATTAACTTTACGCATTGTCTGGGCTAAGAGTTGAAGCATCTTCTACTGAGATTTAATTCCCTAATATAAAAAATTAACCTACTGATTTCTCAATTACTTACTTCTTTCGTGTTAATAACTATTTAAATTAAAGCATGAGTTATTTTAAAATTCAGTATTTGATGAAGAATGCAATACTAATTATTTTTATACTAGAGGCTTAGTTTGCAGAGCTCCAAAGATGACAAAAGTTCATTTAGTTTGGAGTGGAAAACGGAGGCACGCCTATTATTGGATATAATAAGTTATGTAACATTTCATGTTAATGTGAGTTGTGAAATACCTAGTTAACTGACAATTAACTGCCACTGCTGATAATTTTGTAGATTAGTCGATGAAAGGTATAAATGTTCTTCAAGGAGATTGCACACATATTCAATACACACGTATTTAAAGGGTTTGGGACATTCTAAAGTCATCTCTGAACCAGATCAAGAACCTCCTTCATTGATTCTTTCATGTGATCAAAGATGCATTTGCCACCTACTTTTGGTGATACATTATCCCCAGGAAGTCTTTTAGAAAATGACATCTTCACCCACAGTGTCTTTCTTTAGTACTGATAATCAAAGATTTTGTGAATTAGCAGGATTTACTGGCTGTTGAGTGCATATCAGTTCAAGTCCTCCAATAAGCTGATGCCAAGACAGGATTAGATACACAGGAGATAGATGGGAGGAAACTCCCGTGAAGGATAAAGGAGAGGTAGCAGGAAGTGGCAGGTGAGCCTTCAGACCTGGAAGCATTAGACGTCCCACATAGGTCAAGACGGCCTGATGGCCTGCCTGGGGCAACCCCACCTGCTCCGTCTCTACCTGGAGAAGCCTGGAAGAAACATGGCTTGGGCCTGAGTCCCATGGTGGACTCAAAGGAGCAGCAGTTGGAGCTGTCAGTCAACTGTGCTCCCCATGCAGGGTCTCTTGAAAGGAGGTGCAAGGAGTGGTTTCCATGGCTACCAGAGGGGAAAAGAGAGTCCTTGTAGGTGCAAAAGTGCAAGTTACTCTCCTCTTTTCTATCCCCACTCACATTTTGACAGTTGCTCCTCTTTGGCCATTATGGCTTGGCCAGCCAAAGTGTCACAAAGGGACAGGTAATACGGTATCTTCTGCCTTAGTTTTTTTTCTTTCTCAGTACAATAAATACAGGCATCGTAATTGCTCCATAAGGGGATGTGGTGGAGGTTGAATAAAGCAGCTTTATAACACAACCTTTACCTTTTGCCCTGGGCCAATGAACATCATCATCACCAATACAATAAGATATTAATATTTAAGTGTGGAGACCATGATACTCATCAAAATCATACAGAAGCCATGCTAATATCAAGCGTCTATTCCAGCTTGTGGTCTCAGTAAGATTAAGTCCTAAGAATGATGTCCAGTTTTTATCTCACTCGTGTTCCAACCAAGACCAAGAGGGCTACGGGACCTTTCTCTCATGTCCACTCCATGGGGCAAGAACAAGCAAAAGACAATGGAGGACTCTTCCCTCAACAGTGGAACAGGAGATGGGCTACTCTCCCCTGAGTTGTGTTCTCCAGGGAAGAGAGATGCAGTAGAAATGCGCTGAGTGGGAGAACGAAAAGGTCTGAGAGAGTAAAGGGGCAGGGACAGGGCAGGGCCCGAAGAGAGCTACCCTGTGGTAGTAAAGTGAAATGCTCCCAGGATTTGAGTGGTTTTAGATAATTTATTCACTCATGTAACAAATAATTATGCGGCAGTTGGTACGTACCAGATAGAGTCCCGGATGCTTGGGATATATATCATTGAACAAAACAACATTTTTGCCTTCTTGTAGCTTATATTCTAGCAGGGAGATGCTAACATGTAAATAAGTAATAAAATACATAAGCAAATTATGTCTAAATAAATACGTAAACTGCAGCTTTTCTTAAAATTGATTTTCAGCAGGAATTGCCTCATCTGCAATTACTAGAAGCAGAAGTCTCTTTCCTCAGATTTCTTGTCACTTTTAAACTGCTTTCACCAGGGATTCCTGTTTCTTCTCCTGGGAAAGAAACATTTCCTTTGGA